TAATTCCCAGAATTCCACTTTTCTTACATTTTGATATTTTTTCTCCAGATATTTTGTTTTACGCTTATTACATTATTTAACTGAGACCACACTGTACATATAAACAGTTTTGTCTTATTTTATAGGGTTATTGTGAAGATAAAATAATGTATTTAAAGCCCCAGACCCTATGTCTGATAGATATATATTGAACATTTAGTAATTGCTAGCTAGTATGATAGTTACCTTGCCCTTCTTTTTTACCTCTTACATGCTAAGCTGTTTCTCATGTAATTAGAAAACTCTGCATAAGCATTATTTTTTAGTGGCGGCATAATAGGCTACATTCACAGATGTACCATGGTTTACTTTTTCCTTTCTCTCATATTTGAACATTTAGGTTTCTTCCAAAATTACTCTATTGTGAATAATATTTCCCTAAATATTTTAAAATATAAAATTATCTTTGCATTTCTGATTAATTCCTTGGAATATATTCCTAGGAAGGAAATTAGTCAAAATGTTTGAACTTTTTTAAAGATCTTTGATGGACATATTGACAAATTACTTCCTAGAAATTTTGCTTAGCTTGTACTTTCAGTCCTGGCTAGTAGTCAGTGAAAGGCCTGTGTCAAAATCCTCTCCAGCCTTGAGGATTACCTTAAATTTAAAAGAAAAAAATCATTATTATTTTCATAAGGGAAAATGAGTCTGTAATTTTAGCAGATTTCTTCGCTTTTTCATAATTAACGCATTTTTATAATTGAGTTATTTGTATTCTTTCTTTCTAAAGGTGTATTTTCACTTTGCCATTTATCTAATTGATATCTAGTAGTTATAAATTTATATGAATCTCTTGTATATTAAAGCTATTAATTTTTGTTCTGTCACATTTGTTGAAATAGTTCCCCAAATTTCTATTTTTCTTTCTTTTCTGATTATTTAAATCATTCAAGTTAATTGATCTTTTCCTTCCTAATTTTTCCATTGCTTTTGAGCTTAGAAAGTCCTCTCTATCCATAGACCCATATGTTTTCTTTTGATCTATATAATTAAACATTTATATTTAGTTCCTTAACACACTGGAAATATATTTTTCTTTGTAGGGTGAGGTGATCTCAATATTTCCGCATAGCACATAGCAGTTTTTCTTACTTCTATTAAATACTTATTGCATTATATTGTAATTACTTTTTCTGAATTTTTCTTCTTCATAAGACTTAAGCCTTCATCCTTTTTTGTTTGTTTGTTTCACTTTTTGGTTGTTTTTTAATGGGGGTACTGGGGATTAAACCCAGGACCTTGTGCATGCTAAGCGTGCACTCTACCACTGAGTTATACCCTCCCCTTCTAAGTTTTCATCCTTTGAATTTTTATCCCCAGCAGCTAGCACAGTACCTTCCACTCTGTAGAGGCTCAACAAATATTTGATAAATGAAATAAAGAAATATAGAGTTATATATAATTTGTCCTGGGAGATTTAAATGGCATCATCTATTCCTAGCTTTAAAAACCTTGAGAGAGATTCTGTAGTAATGCTAATTTCAAGTTAGTCTACATTCCAGAGCATCCACCAGAATGAATTGGAGTGGTCTGGACATAAGAGAAGTAAAGTGAAAATGACTTGTACAGTGAGTTACATTTTTACTACCTAATAGGAAAATTGTCTAACCAGTAACCAGAGGCTCTGTACCTATTATCTAAGCCACCCTATTACTGTGTATTTCCCCAAACTTACCCTGCTCCACCTAAAAAAATAAATAAAAATGCACCTTTATAATGATCAGAATACTCAAATGAATGGCTGCGATTTAATGATGATACTCAAATATTTTCAAACTTGACATTTCACCTGGGTTCCATTCTCCTGTTTCCAACTGCTTTCTAGATATTGCTTACCTATGCTTATCAGTGCCTCTTCAATTCAGCAAATTCCGTCTGAAATCTCGTTCACCCTAACCCTCCTGCTTATAGTCTCTACCCCCACCCGTCCAACACCAAATCTTGGTTCCTACTCTTGTGTTCCCTAGGCTGGACATGATATCACATCCCACCCAGTAGTCACAGTAAAAATCTCCATTATTCTTTATTCACTAACCCTGTGGATTTAACCTTTCACCACATCTTCTCTGTGTTACCTCCCCACTGTTTTTCCTTTTGTCTCTTCCCCATCTTAACTGTCACTGTCCTCCCTCATAATCACTGATCTGACAACTGCCATAACCTTTTCATTCATGTCCCAGCTTCCATCTCCTCCTCCTTCCAAACCTATTCCACATAAATTTTTAAATAGGGGTGTACATTAGAAAAAATCCTCTTGCCCCTGAAGGTTCAGATTCACTAGACTGAAGATAGAGCTTGGGTACCTCATCACACAAAAGCTTCCCAGATGATTCTTATGCACATCTGGATTACAGCCAATATTTTACAAGCTTCTGGAGCTATTGTTTGAAAACCCAGCTATAGTCACATCACATTTTGGCTTAAAACCTTTTAATGCTTCCCCCACTGCCTGCAGCATAAAGTCCTAGTTCTTAGCTTGTGATGGAACAGGCGTCATTCACATCTGGGCCCTAATCTCCCTTTCCAGATGCATTTTCAACTACTTCCCTTCAAGGACCCTGAGTCTAGCCAAATAAGTTAGATCCTAATACACCACGTCCTTTTGGATTTCTGTGCCTTTTTCCGTACAGTTTCTTCTGTCTAGGTTGCCCTTAACTTTTTTCTACATCTGGGAAACTCCTCAATGTTACTTCACTCTGACTACTCTTTCCCTCATTCTTCCAGGCAGGAGTAACTGCTCTTCATCTGTGACTCCTCAACACTTTGTGTATACTTGTATTGCTACTCTCATTACTTTGCATTGCGATGATTTGTTTATATATATATATATATACACACAGATATATATATATATATCTATATATATGTATGTATAGATATATATATATATAAGGTCATTGTGATAAAGATAGTCTTCCTTATCTTGTATGAGTAGGCACCCAAGAACGCCTCTTTCCTTTTGATGAAGAATTAACAAATTATGTCTTTTTTTTACCCCCACCTCTTCTGACTGGAAAATTATCTTTCACCTATATCATTCATCTGTTTTAATCTCATTTTAAAAAAAAATTGATCTGTCTCATTAACAAAAAGGAACTTCCCAAATCTCTGTACCAAGTTATGTTTGGTGATCATTTGGGTATCATGGAACTTATCAGTGTCTAAAGATAAAGATACCTTGCTGAGATCTTGTCAAAGAAGATATAGAACATCTGGTTACATGTTCAGGGTATTCGATATGTTTTGAATGTTGAAGATCAACAAAACTGATCTGATGAGTTGTGTAAGTTTCTATACCAGAATGTTTCTGATGCCTGCAAGTATGAAAAGCTATGATACTGGATTTGTTTCTTTCATAGGAATTATCTCCCTATTCTCTTTGGACAATGGATTAAAAAAAATCAGAGACAAAAATATAAATTTAGAACTTAAAATTAAGCTAATATCTGTATTCACTTCCATTATTGGTCAACCTAAAACAGTTGATTAATTGATTATAACTCAGCTCAGCACTACCATTAATAGGCTGGAAAGTTTGGGGGCAAAACTGGGAAGGTGGGTAGTGAGATAAATAATATGGAATTAAATTCTAGCCTAGAAAGGCATATTTCAATTCTGAATGTCTGGTTACTTTGTCACATAAAAGGAGGAATGTGTAACAAGAAACATAGTGCTGTGGCTTAAGAATCAAGAGACCTAAATCCATTCCCTGCAAATTATTTTCCATCTTTGATCTTCTCCATTAAATGAGAAATCATTAAAGATATTTCGCTACCCAGAATTGAAATTGATTTTTTTTTAAAAAGGAATGTAGAGAGAGAGAGATGCAGAGATAGAGCCATCCATCCATCCATCCCTCTTAACTTTTTCTCTAGGTAAGTTGGCTCTACCTGAAAATTATCCCTTGAGCCCATGTCTGAATGTTCTATGAAACCTGCAGAAACAATGAAGATTCTGGTCCCTAAATATTCATCAAGACTGGCTAAGTATAACCTCTGAAAAACAGTTTCATAAGTAACTCAGCTCTTAAAGATAAGGAGGAACCAAGAGGTAGTTCCCAAACACCTAAATATGAGAGGACTTTTCTGCTCTCGATGGACAAATTTCTCTGAAAAGTACTTCTTTCAGTTTAGGAGAGGAAGTGAAAAATTTCCCAGGAGGAATATTTAGCAATAGTCATGTGGCTCCAAGTGCAAGACAGAAGCCCTTTGTAGCTAAACCTGGTTGGGAGGGAGAAGGGCTGAAGAATGGCTGAAAGGCAGACTCATAGATTACTTTTGATACATTTGGAATCATTCATTCAAGACTCTCACAAGAGGGAGAAAGAGATCTTGAGTCCAGAAAACCAGCAGCTTAAGACAAGTTATCAAAATTGCTAACCTTCCAATTTAAGTCTGGATTAGGTTATGAAGGACAGCCTTCTGATTAGAGTACAGGTATAAAATGTGGACTCATTGTTAAGATTCTGGTAAAGGGTTAATAAAAAATTTAGTTTTAACAATTTGTTTTTGGTAAAAAAGTATACAAACTTAATCAGAGAGAAGACAGTGAGCTCTAACCAAATCTTAGGAAAAACACGCATGTTGCTGCTGTGACCTTTGTAACATACCACAGACGCCACACACCTAGTGATCCTGTAAACACCGAAAACGCAGAACTCAGCCTCTCGTGTGCTGAAAGTATAAAACAACGGCCACCGGAGCGACATCCCTGTGGCCGTGTGGGTACAGTTAGTGCTCCTCCTGTCCTGCGAGGGCACTGCTCGGGGTCCTTCGGCTTTGTGCGAGAGAACCCTTCTTGTTGAGTTTACTTAGGCTGGAAGTAGGGATTTCCACCCCTGGGGCCTCACTGTGCTTATCAGGAATGATAGTTGGTCCTTTTGCCTTTGTCACTTTTTCTTTTGTTTCCCCTGGTCTCACTGGTGATTATTAATGTAATGTAAATGTCTTTTCTTTCAGTCCTCCTCGCCCTCTGACTAATATGAATGACACCATGGTGAGCCACCTGTCCTCCGGAGCGCCCACTCCCAGCAAGAGGTAGGTGGGTCTTGCTCAGAGTTGGGTCCCAGCCTCTGGCCTGGGAAGCAGGCCATTCCACAGGGCAGAAGGGACTGGCTTGCTTTCTTCTCTTTTGACTGTCTTTTAATATTATTTTCTACTTTTTAATCTTCTTTCTTTTTTTTTCCCTCTGATAACTTACAAATATAGCAACTGAAAGAGCCTGCTTTTGAGTGGTGCCTGAGGTGGAAACTCTCCATTTGTGACAAGCAGTGAACATAGTGTCAAAGCAGATTAGACATGTTTAGATCTTTTTATTTTTAACATTAAACAATATTTTGATGAGCACAAATTTCAACAGTTTTGCGTTAGAGTTCTTTGAGCGTCAAAGATTGTTTCTGCTTCCTGATTAGACTATGTGAACTGAACGAATCCCTATTTCTCCTAAATCATCCTGTATAGGATTCATAAACATTTAAGTTGAAAAGCCCGAGTCCCCCTCTTAGTTATATGAAGAGTTTCCTTAGGGTCCTTTAAGGAACAAGAACTGTGTACTCCTCTCTCCTCTTTATTTAGTTTACTCTTCTCCAAAATTCTCTTAGGCAGGACTTAAAAGAACTGTATGAAATGGTTTACTTTCTATCTGATTTAAGCTGTTCCGTCACCAGAGCAATGCAGAAACTTGCTCAAGGGCACAACCATTAAAGAATTTTTTCTAACAGTCATCACTCAAAAAGAAAAAAAACCCAAAAAACAAAAAACCAAACAAACAAAAAAAAGAAGACATTCCAACCCAAATCCTTCCTGAAGAAAAGCACTTCGTACTGCAAACCTGAAGAAAACCGTATGTACTGATTGCTTTGGATTATTTTGGCTATAGAAATGTCATCTACTTAATAACACTTTGACTTAATATTTATAATATATAATACTTAACATCAGCTATGTTCCCATTGGCTAAAACCACGAGACCAGTGTTTCTTGAACTTGAGTGATAAGAAGAATCACTTGGTTCATTCGTTAAAAATACACATTTCTGGGACCACATCGGACCCAGTGGATCCTGAGATCCTGTGAAGCTACACATTTAACAAGTATTGCAGACGATTCTTAGCATCCAGCAAATTTGGGAAATTGCCTTAGAAAGAAGCAAAGGAGTCAATGTAGGAATCCTCTGCCCTGGAACAGAGGATTTAAGGACTGACTAAATCAGAGTGACTTGGTAGTACAGTGTTATCCACACGGAGACTCAAGCCCCTGATCAGGTAAGAGTGCTTGTCCGCAGCCTTACTGGGACACTCGTAGCAGAAGGATAGCCAAGCCGCTTCTTTTGGGCAGAACTAAGTGGAATCATGTACTGGAGCACAGACTTCCAAGCCAGACTGTCTGCATTCGAATCCTGATTCTCATCAGACCTTGAGCAAGATTCTTATCTTCGCTGCTTTATTTCTAAAATGAGGACAGCAATAGTATATATGTTGTGGGGCTTCTGTGAGAATGTAAGATATTGTTGTCATTCTTGACAAAGTAAGCTGTAATGAGAGAACAGGTAGGGAAGAGATGGAAGAGTTTACGAGTAATGCCCTCTCCCTCCAGGAGGAACAGAGGCTTATGGAAGAACACAAAGCAATTAAACTTCTCCCACCTGCCTGGATATTACAGCCACCATTGCTGGCCTTAACTTTTTATGTTTAACACCCATAGCATTCAGACCCAGACCCAGAATCTAAATATTAACTCAAAAATATTTCTGTTTCAAAACTAGGAGGACAAGGTAGATTATTGAAAGAAGCTTGTAGGTTTTATGTTAGTTGTAACAACACCATCTCTTAGGGTTTCACTTCACCTGAGTTCTTCATTTACGAGTTTTGTCACTATGAGTCACCTAAGTCCCTGCGGGCCCTGAGGGCATGGTGGCTGAGGACACTGTGCATTCAGTGACCACAGCTGAATGCGGCTGCTAGCGGCTGTTAGAGGGAGTGCATCTTTCTGGATGATGTTTTATGCTCAAGAGGACTGAAAGAAGACTGCCCGGGAGCAATAATCATCGCAGCCGCCTGCGCAGAGGGACTACAGTGGCTTGATGTTGCTGTATGAAGCCCCAGCTCGGCAGTCAGTGACCAGCTGCAATCGTCAGTCACAGAGTATTTACTATTTCTGAAAGTTGTTACAGATAATGTAGTGTAGCTTGGGTTAAGATTTTACTTTAAAGTCAGCATTTCAGCTAGCATCTCTTTTGAGGTGGACTTAACTGACGCTAGAGGTGGTTATTGCAGACGCTCTGGGGGCTGAGCAGCAGACCGACCAAGTGCAGCCAAAGCCCTTAGGAGACTGAAAGGAAGGCGGGGCTCTGTAACTTACCAAGAAGAGTGGTTGCTGGAGTAGCGGCAGCATGGCAACAAGATGCTCCATCCTAACAATGTTGTCCTTAGAACTTTAGATTTCACTTCTATTCAGGATGAGATTATGACATAGCATGTGGACATTAATTGCATAATTTATAGATTTGGCTCTTCATGGCCTCAGTTACCAAACAGTGTAAATTTCCAGATAGTATCCTATTTGCTTCCTCGAGGACTCATCAGTTTTTATTTTCTCCTCTGAATGGCGTCAGACCTGTGTCTCCAGAGTCTGATGAAAGCCAGGAACCCAGCACGTCATCCCAGTCATAGTTCCTTCCTCTGCTGGGGCAGAGAATCCTCAGGGGGCATAAAGCTACTCTCCAGAAATGTAGAACTCAGCATAGGATGTAAGTCACTGACTCAGACAAGAACATGCACAGTAACAAAAATGCAGGAAAAAATTAAGGGCTCCAGTTTCTACCTTTTCAACAGGCAGTGCATATAAAAATGGTGATAAGCCCCAGTGGTCAAACACAATACTTGATTAGTCCAAATGAAGGACGACCTCAAATGTAATGGTTACTTTTTACAGAAGAAAACCTTATAAATGGCAAAGATGCTGGCTATCATGTGAGAAATTGTAAATTATGTTCCTGAAAGGTTCCACTCTAGAGATTTGCCCTCTATAGTATTTTTCTAATATTCCCATATTGACATTTCTGTATTTGAAAGGAAATTTCATCTTTGCCTTAGATTAAACGGTTTCTGGGAATTTGATGTCTGTCAAAAAATCAGAACAGTACAGTTAAAAACAAACTTTCCAAACTTTAAAACAGAGACTTAAAGTGCCCCTCTGCCCTCTGACTTCCTCCAAGGCTTGCTCCTGCCCCTTTAACTCCCCAGGATTCTCAGAGTGATTATGCAATTATCTGTACCGTTGTAGTGTTTTAGATCACACCTTTTATTCAGACCAACGTGGAAAATGATGCTAATATTTTTAATATGTTCTAAAACTTTAGCTTTAATTATTTATACATACAGAAACATATACAATTCTGTGGAAATCTCATATGACTGCCAGTAACAAAAACCTCCAATATGAAACTTGCTGGTTCTGTGCGTTTGGTTGGTATAATAGTTTCAACTCTTTTAGCTTCAGGAATTAAAATCGAACTCTAAAAAGCACAAATTCAGTTAAGCAAGATGAAAAAGCTCTAAAGATCTGGTGTACAACCTTGTGCTTATACTTAACAATACTGCACTGTACACTTAAAAATTACGCTCTAGTAGATCTTCTGTCTTCTTACCACAGTTTAAAAAAAAAAAAGGAAGAGGAAGAAGAAAACAAAAGGCGCCGAACTACAAGACAAAGGCAAAAGGAGAGGGGGAAGGGCAGAGGTCCCCACAGACAACAAAACCAACTGAACTGCCACCAGGATGTCCACCTGTGGCTTCTCTGTCTCTTGGCTTCTCTCAGTGTGCTGTCCTCACGCCCTCCTCCTGCAGAGCAGCCACCTCTCAAGGTGCTGATGGCCTCAGACTCACATCCACAGCCTGTCCCTCAGGAGGTTGTGCCTCTCCTCCCTTGGGCTGGGAAACTCCAGGAAAGGATTCTGGTTCTCTTGGATAGCGCTACTGTCATCAGAACAGAGGAAGGAGCGTTTCCCTGAAAGAAGGTGGCACCGTCAAGAACAGGAGAGATCCCTGGGAAGAAAAACAACAGCGGTCATTGACAGAATGCTGTTTTGCCACCCAGCACACAGACGTGTGCAGAAGTGTGTACACTCACACACACACACCTTCCCATGCACATTTCCACTTCCAGCACTTGCCTTCCTCACACAGTGCAGCTCTCCATATACAACTGCAGGGGCACACCTGCCTTTCCCAGGCATCTTAGCCACCGCCTGCAGACAGCACTGGGTCCCAGACATCTAGGTCACGTTCATTCGTCAGGATCAGGTGTAGTTTTTTTTATAGTTCATTACCCCATTCTACCGTGGACCGAATGAGTTTTAAGAACTCACAATGAATATATATATGTTCATGTATAACTGAAAAATTGTGCTCTACACTGGAATTTGATACAACATTGTAAAATGTCTATTACTCAATAAAAAATACTAAAATTAAAAAACCCCACACACCTCTAAAACTCACAACTCACAACTACATCTCAAACTACAAAGGTCGAGATCTGAAAATAAGATGATTGCAATTTAGAGAAGGGGGAAAGGGAAGTAACAAAACACATATTTAGCCACATTTGCCTATTTCCTCCTGAAACACCACGAAAATGACAGTCAAGACTTTTTTTTTTAGTAGAAACAACAACAGAGAAAAATGAACGAGGAGACAATGGCAGCAACATTTTGGAAGCAGCGAAGCGGATGGACGAATGGTAACTGAACACACTGGACAGAACTGAAACCTAAGCTGACAAGAAACCCAGAAGAAAGCCCACGCAGGAATGAGAAGGCTTCGGGTGGGAGGATCTAGGCTGACCGGCTGATCTGAGGAGCACTGAGAGCCTCAGACTGTCTGCATAACTGGGCACCTGCCCCTACTCCACCCCGCCAAAGAGTTGAGATTTATATTTGGGGTTTCTGGAGTCATACAACAACCATAAAAACCCTAGTTGTCTTCAGTGTCTCACCTGGGCGAGCTGAGGCAACTGGCTTGCAGACAACCCGTCTC